TACAAGGCTTCATGCTGGGGTAATTCAACCTGTTAATTATAAAGTGAAATATGGTTTGACCTGCTCTACCGGCGAACCCAGCACGTTTGAGGAAGCAAGCACGGATATCAAGTGGAGGAAGGCTATGGAGGAAGAGTTTCAAGCTCTTCAGAAAAATAAAACATGGCATCTTGTTCCTTCACAGCGAGGCAAAAATTTAATTGATTGCAAATGGGTGTTCCGGATGAAGAAAAAGGCCGATGGCACCATCGATCGTTACAAGGCTAGACTCATTGCAAAAGGATTCAAACAAAGGTATGGCATCGATTATGAAGATACTTTTAGCCCTGTTGTTAAAGCTGCCAGTATACGTCTTGTTCTGTCTATTGTCGTATCTAGAGGATGGAGTCTCAGGCAGCTAGATGTACAGAACGCGTTCCTTCATGGTGTTCTGGAAGAGGAAGTATATATGAAACAACCTCCTAGGTTTGAAGACAGAAACAAGCCTTTTCATGTTTGCAGGCTAGATAAGTCTCTTTATGGCTTGAAGAAAACACCTAGAGCATGGTACTCGCGGTTGAGTTCTAAGTTACAAACACTGGGTTTTGTTCCCTCCAAGTCTGATACGTCATTGTTCATATACAATAAGTTCAAAACATCTATATTTGTGCTTATTTATGTTGATGATATCATTGTCACAAGTTCATCAAATGAAGCAGTCACTGCCTTGTTGAAGGATCTGAATTCAGAATTTGCTCTTAAGGATCTAGGTGACTTGCATTTCTTCCTTGGTATTGAAGTTAAGAGAAACAGCGAAGGTGGTCTTCATCTTTCTCAAGAAAAATATGCAACTGATCTTTTGAATAGAGTTGGCTTGCAGGGTTGTAAACCATCACCCACACCATTGTGCAGTTCAGAAAAACTCTCTCTTGCAGCGGGACAACCCTTGAGTCAAGAGGATGACACCAAGTACAGAAGCTTGGTAGGTGCGCTTCAGTATTTGATACTCACCAGGCCTGACATTTCCTTTGTTGTCAATAAGGTTTGTTAGTTTCTTCATGCACCAACTACAAATCATTGGACTGCTGCCAAACGCATACTGAGATATGTAAAATACACCTTGGGTGTTGGCCTAACCTTCAGCAAGTCATCATCCACACTTGTCAGTGCTTTCTCTGACTCTGACTGGGCAAGTTGTTTGGATGACAGGAGATCAACAGGTGGTTTTGCAATCTTCTTTGGACCTAATTTGATTTCATGGTGTGCAAAGAAACAAGCTACAGTTTCAAGGTCTAGTACTGAAGCAGAATACAAGGCATTTGCAAATGCCACAGCAGAGACTTTCTGGGTCAAATCCATGCTTAGGGAGCTTGGGTGTTGGCCTTCCTAACTTTAAACTGATTCAGTTTGCATTTCAAACAGAGAAGATGTAGCTACTTCTACACTCCCTTATGTAATCACATGTAAGCATCAGTATATTTATACTGTACTCCCTCCGTCCCATCATGTAAGACATTTTTTGACACTACACTAGTGCTAAAAAAGTCTTACATTATGGGACGGAGGGAGTAGTTTTCTACATCTCGCTTTCCCATCCCGTTATAAAGATGTTCTACATTTTTATATGAACCGGTTCATATACATCTCCCTATACAACTGCGCACTGCCCTGTTTTTGTAATCAAAATTCTGGAAAGTCATGGTACACTTGCTCTTAGGTCTATGAGGGTAACAAACAACACTTGTACTACTTTTGAGTTTTACCATATACTACCTCTGTCCCTTAATATAATACGTTTTTGCAGTTCAATTTGAACTGCAAAAACATCTTATATTAAGGGACAGAGGTAGTGGACTAGTAGAATTTTATTGGACCAAACAGTTGCTCACATATTTTCGAGAAAATCAGTCAGAATTGATTTCTAGGCTAGCAAACAATGTTAGCACTAATCTTGATATTTGTATTTGCATGATTAGTTTGCTTCTGTTATGCATGTAACTTAGATGTTCTAGGGAGTACCTAGTCTAGCGAAGCTTCAGTTGAGGCGTGCGGAGAAAGCGAGATGCCAGGCCGCCATGCGATACAAAGAGTACGGTGAGATGGCAACGGCGGGGTGAAGCTGCGATGCTGTGCGAGGCAGCAAGGTCATGTAATGCAGCAAGCGTGTGGACGATTGAAGGAGGGCCGGCCGGCTGGACAGACTAGTTAGAGCAAAGAGATTCGGATGAGTTAGGGCATGTACAATGGTTGATAACATAGTCTTATCTTAAGTCTTGTATGTAATCTAGAGATGACACAAAAGAGAGTCTACAATGGGTCATCTCTTAGGCTTATCTTCAATAACTAGCAATTCCTAAAAACGTGGTGAGACATATTGTGCTAAGAGATCATCTCTTGTCTTCTCTTAAATAAGATAGCACCATTGTACATGCCCTTAGTTACATGCATGATGAGTTTGTTGTACTTAGCTGTGTATGTGTGCACTGGATCTTGGATTTTGTCCAGGTCATGTGGCCCGCCGTTACGGGGATGCTGCACACGCGCTGAGGGCGTGCATGGATTGGATTAGTTAGTGATGGTAGTGGGCAGCTATGCGTGAGTGCATGGCATGAGTACATAGTCCTTCTATATGAATTTATGGAAAATTTTAACATGCTCCCTCTTACATTCTCTTTTCAAATGAGAGGTAAGAGTAGATAATAGATCTTAACCGCTGATTTCATTAAGTAGTGGATCCGAGTAACTCTTATCTTCTTACCTCTCATGTGAAAAGAGAAGATAGTAAATTAACCACATCTGGATTTATGGTAGTTTTTGAGCTATTTTATTGAATAAATCTGTATTCTTATTTTTTTGGCAGAAAGGATCAAACTTTATTTAATAATATACATACTCAATGTGATATCCTCCTAGTTTAATAAAAAAATACATAAAGCTCATGCAGTGGTATAAGTCCAAGGGGCGGATTGCAACTCACAACAATAGGAATGTCATCCTTGAGCTATTGTTGGCTGGTGCAATGTCTATTTGCAGAGTGCGGTGGAGAGTGAAAAAGTTTGTCATAGATTAGAAAAAATAGACAGAATAAGAAAAAACTCACCGTTCGAAAAGGCCAGCAGGATATAGGTCATTGACACGTCGGGATGAGAAAGCTCATGAAACTGTAACTCCAACTGATCTACGAGCTAACCTAGGGGACTCTCTATCCCAAGACCTGAGCGGGAGGCTGCTGCGTGGAAGAACCCATGGCGTTGCCACCACTTATTGCTGCATCTCGCCCATAGGCTACTGCAAGAAGCCCGCACGCCTGACGCACATTCCTAAGGTAGGATTGCACTGATGTTGCGAGCGAGCCAAGGGGCGGCAATGTTGTGAGCTTTGAGCTCACGAACGGGGCGTCTATTCGGCGTTGCGACCACACCGCCTGGCACAACCAGCGCGGCGACAGGGCGCGAGCCGGGGGGTGCGAGTGCGATGATGGGGTGCTGCGGGCAGGTCGTTGTGTCATGTCAGTGAAGCGAGCTGCAAGCGGCGTGATGGGAGAAGTGCAATTGACAGTGTCGTATGCTAGGATGGGAACGCCGGCGATTCATTTGTTGATCAAAATAGAAAACTGACTCTTGATTCATTCTTTGATCCAATTACTCAGGTCATGTATTCAAATTTTAGTATAGCTAATTTTAGTTGTTATCTGAGTTAAAAATTTATGATTACTCAAAGTTTTCTTAATCCTAAGACAAGAATAGAGTTTCACACTCTAATTTAATTAAAATTTCATATTTATTTTCTTAGAGACTAACTAAAATAAAAAGTTTGTGGCACTCCATAAACATCTTAAAAAGCGTCTTTAGGTCTCTAGTGTTCATGGGCTTAAAGACATATACAAATAGTGCCCCAGAAAAAGCGACTATAAATGGTGTTTTTGTTGCAGTGACATAGAGCAGTTGTTTACCGAGCAGAGAAAAATAGAGGCGAATCACTGGGTCATTCATGACTTCGGCAGGTAATGATCCAGGAACGAACAGTGTGGGATAACTAAGACTTGAGATTCAAGAGGACGAAGTCGAGCATGGTCACCGTCAGCCGGATTGGTGGTAGTCTGTTGAGCTCGAGCACGGGCAACCGGCGCAAGAAGCAGCAGCCAAGAGGAGCTGCCTCATCTCCGTAGCGTAGCTCTGCTTGTCAGTCTGTTCTAGCTTAGCTCGGCCCCTTGTGTCTTCCCCGAGAGAGAGAGAGAGACAAGCCGGAACAATATATAAGATCAAAAAGGGACATCTGAAAGGTGGGGGCATTTTTCACACGACGAATGAAATGGATACAGTAGATCATGTAGCCAGCCAGGTGTAGACGACACCGTGCAAAGGTTGCGGTGGAGAAGCAACTTGGCCCAAGTGGATCAACTATTGAATGGCCACTTGATCAACTAGCTAGCTGATTAGTTAGCGTCTCGGATGTTGGATTGGAATTGAGTGGCTGATGCGGAGGACCGAGGAAGCCGCCGCCACCACCAAGACCCACGTCCACATGCCGACATGGCATGCAGACGCTGGCCGTTGCAAGCAAGAGGGGAAGAACCCAACAAGTTCCCAAGCTGAATTTTGATTGACATGTGCTGTGGTGAAAGACGGGGCAGGAGGACCTTTTGATTGACATGTGCTGTGGTGAACCAATTGGGACAAGTGTTGGCATGACATGGATATTGGACGGCCCACATTATTCCGTCTACTTGAAATATCGAGGCCAAAAGCCAAAATTATTGGAAAAATCTTATGCTCGTCCAAAGAGATACAACTTTATCTCCTACTCCAACCTACTAAACAATGCAAGTATGAAACCTCTTGAGCAAAGATTCTGACTATAGAGGCACCAAAATGCATGCGTTCTCAACGAATCTGTGCCACAAGAAGTAACTGTGGACCGACCGATCGATCGACCATATGGATCATTTCAACGGCCTTGGTCGATGACGGAGCCTAGGAACGGCGCCGGCGCCGAGCTTGACTGCCCGTTGATCTCGGAGCTCATGTAGCTGGTGTCGCCGCCACCTTGATCTGCCACTCTGTGATGTAGCTGGGCTTCGGCACCCAGTCGGGCGCCTCAACGTCGCCCGCCAGCATCGCCACCACCCTCGACATGGGCGGCCGCTGGTGGGGCGAGCCCTGGGTGCACACGAGCGCCACCTTGATGGCCCGAAGCACCTCCTCGCTGTCGAAGTCCTCCAGCCTGGGGTCTAGCATGTCCAGAGGTTGGCCGTCCTCGTACAGTTCCCAGACCTGGAAGCATCGATATGGTAAGCTAAAATGCAGCACATTGCAGTTCTTCCACAGGATGCACGCACTCACATATGCCAAAACTGTGTGTTGAGAGGGTTTGATTTAAAATTCTGTGAAAACATGTGAGCTCTATATTACCAATATTCAGTAGGAATTTTCACTATTGGTTTTACCGATAGCACAAAAAAATACTAGGGCCTAGAGTTCCTCCGTTAGCTTACCCATTCGAAAATATAAACCTTGTTTTGGTCCTCAGTAGTGTAATAGTTTGGTCTTCCAGCTAAAGTCTCCAATACCACGACGCCAAATGCAAACACATCAACCTTCTCTGTCACATGGCCTCTCATGGCATATTCCGGTGCAAGATAACCACTTGACAAAGGAGTCGATAAACGCCATTAGCATACATATGAAAATACTACATAAACATAAAAGGCTAGCAAGATAGAAATGCACTTACAATGTACCAGCAACTTTCGTGCTCACATGTGTCTCCTGGTCATCATAAAGTTTTGCTAGTCCGAAATCTGAGATCTTAGGATTGAGATTTGCATCAAGCAAGACATTGCTGGCTTTTATGTCCCTGTGCACAACACGGATGCTAGATTCTTCATGAAGATAGGCCAGACCTCTTGCAATTCCTAAGCATATCTCAAAACGCGTTGGCCAGTCTAGGTTTGACTTCCCTTTTCCTGCAGATGTGGGTTTAAATTTTTAGTTGTATATACTAACCATGAAGTTGCAGATTTTTAGCTGCGTCAATCAATATAATTTGTACCAAATAGAGCACGGTCCAGGCTTCCATTCTCCAGGTACTCATAAACCAGCAATGGCTTATTGCCCTCAAGGCAGCAACCATACAATTTCACAAGATTACGGTGTTGAACCCGAGATATCGTTTCTATTTCCGTCGCGAATTCCTTTTTCCCCTGATGAGATGTTTCAGACAACTGCTTCACTGCCACAAACCTACCATCAGTTAACTTTCCCTGCAAAAAGGAAATATTTTTCAACAATGGAAGTTTCAGGTACCACACTGCCAAACATCATTTGCTCCAGATACACTTTTCCTTCATTTTAGGAATTTTATCAACATGTATGTGGAGAAACTACAAGTACAAAAAGTTTACTCGTATAGACAGGTCTTCCTTTTGATATTTAAGACTATGTATTGGATGAACCAACCTTAAAAACCGATCCATATCCTCCCTGACCAAGGAGGTTATTAGAACTGAAATTTTCAGTAGCTGACCTCAGCTCCCCATAGCTGAGGACATTAGGTCTTCCCACAATACTGTACAGCTCTGCAAGACATCACAAAAGATAATGAGTTTATTTTTGACTTCTCCTTTGCCCAGTTAGAAAAAAATATGGTCCTAGTGTATCCCATACCTTCTTGCTCCAACAATAGTTTTCTCCTTTTCTGCCGCCAAACAAAGATTCCAACAAATGCTAACAATCCTAAAACTACCACACCAACTATAGCTCCAGCAATCACACCTGTTTTACTACCTTTCTTCTTTACCACAGCATTACGCACTGTAGGGGTGAAATCTGAAAGATAGTTCACTTGTTAGAAAGGTATGATTATATGTAAACTGGTTGGTGTATTACGTCTTAAATGCTAGACTATCACTCCTAGAATGACATACTTTTGACAGAATTCTAAACATCTCAGATGACATACTTTTGAAAGTAATAACTACTTATGAGTTATGACTAGCTCCGTAACCCACATGTTGTAGTGTGGTAACTTCTAAGTTTTAAAAAAAAGGTTGACAGTACATCTAACCTAGTTTAGCTAGAGCTGGTAACAACGTGTGAATAGTACTGTAACTCGCACATTACTAGGTGAAAACTTATGAGCTTGGAAAAAGTTACCAAAATATCTCAAATGACATGTATGTACTTTTTAAGCTGACAACTACCTATGTTTTGCCTGGTAACTCAAGTTCTGCAGGTTGATAACTTTTAACCAAATAAAGTTGACAGAGCATATCAACATAGGATCTAGTTCCAAAAATCTCATCATGACAGATTTAGTGGTGAAAACGGATATTATATCGGACGTGCCATTGGAGATTAAAACATATTGAATTTTTGGAATTAGAGCGAATCTTGATGACATCTACAGTTTCATCTTACATGTGTCATTTTGTGCATGCAATGTGAAGCTACTTTTTAGTTACCCCTAAATAAGTAACCATCGCCACATAGTGATGACCTTTTCACATTGATGCTTTAGTATTTTCGGTTGCTTTTATTTCAAGACGCATAAGATTGCATTCAACATAACTTTAATATGTGTTTCTACCAAGTTAACCTGGAGAATATATTATAGTCGGTGAAAAACTATTATTTCAAGTCGAGGGATGTACTTGGTGTTGCACTCAAAGCTGAGATCGCAGGCCCGTAGTAGCCTTGAGTAGGAATGCAGCAAGTGCCCTTGCCAGCCCAGAAGAGATGAATATCTAGAAAGTTCTTCGTGACAGGAACAGTATACTGCTTCCTAACAGCTGTGAAAGATTTCCCGCCTGCGGCCTTCCTTATGTCAAAGTTCTGCTCCTTACGTTCACCCTATACAAATAAGAAGAATAAATTTATAGCTGGCTTATAAGCTACTCCCTCCGTAAACTAATACAAGAGCGTTTAGATCACTACTTTATTGATCTAAATGCTCTTATATTAGTTTACGGAGGGAGTAACTAGCTATGGGTACTGTTTAATTTGTCACTTAATAGCGGCAACCTACCTGGATATATATATCAAAAACCCTTCTACCTCTGCTCTTCCATGACTGGGTGTCTGGGAAGTCAAACTCTGCAAACAGAAGTGTGACTGTATAGTTTCCATTTTCTAGTCCAATACCAAAGTATCTTAAGGATGACGGCGACATCCTTGCATTCTGGAACAGTTGTGGATCAAGCGTATTGAGAAACTGGCCAGGACTGTGGATTATATAACTTCCATTATTTGCCTCCATGAACTTTCCAACGTTGCTAACACCCCATGTTGGTGCTCCTGTAACATATAATGACGCAGCTCCAAGACTCGCACGATCAGGTTCATACACAGAATTATCTGGGCCTACTATGGATTTTCCAGAGTCCACAGCAAAGGAAGAAGCTGCAAGCAGGTTAAATAAATTAATATTAGTATTAGTTTAGTAGAACTGCAGTTGCAGGTCTATAGTTCCTAGATTGGGCACATTCTTAAAATTTGAAAATGCAGAAGTCTCACACTTTGGAGAATCAAGAAAACATGGTGTATTACGCTGAAGGCACCCCCACCCCGCAGGTAAGACACTGCAAATGTAACAAAATGACACTTAAAACCCAAAATACGAGGCGAGAGAACATAATAGTCATACATGATGGTCTTGAGGAGATATTAAAATACGGACGAACCTGTTGCTGGAACTATCGGCCACAAAATTGTTTGCCACCAGATTCCTAAGTAGGATGATCAACAGGCAAAAAATAGAATTCATTGTTCATACTTCATAGCATCTTTATGACTAAGTTGAGTTACTCTTAAATAATTTGCTCGATTTTGTGCTAGGCTGTAAGACTAATATCTCACTCGATAAACAATAGGAGCCGTAGGCATCTAAATATATTTATAAATAATTTATATATATGCACCAAAACAGCCTTTCAGATTTATATAGGAATCTAGCTTATTTGATGTGTACATATAAGCCTAATAAGTCAGCCCACGAGCCTATTTTAGATGAAACCTGCCCTTTCTTAGGCTGGATTTGGTTCATCCAGTAATAGGAGTTTCAGAATTTGGAACTTACAATTGTGAATTTTTAGCCCATGAAGGAATGCTTCCTGAGAGCTGGTTGTAAGAAAAATCTCTACAAAATAACAGAACGAAAGCACCATTAGAAATTACATAAGCACCGCCTTGCTTTTATTGTGTAAATAAATTGAACCATATCACATACAAAGTTTTAAGTAATGATCCTACTGAGCTTGGAAGGCTTCCTGAAAGGCTATTATTCCCAAGAAATCTAGTGACAACAAAATTTATATAGATTAGCAAAACGATGAAAGTCTTCCTTTTGTACAAATACAATTTGCAAGTCAAGAGAGTCCATACAAGAAGGCGAGTGAGTTCAGATTCAACAAGGTTTGTGGTACTTGGCCTGTGATATTATTGAAACTCAAATCCCTATAATAATAATAATAAAACCAGAAGGAGAAGATGTCATCAGCCAGTGTATAATCTATAGTAATGCAGTGTTCTGCAAGAAATGCACTTGTCTATAGTTTATCGTCGGAATAACATGCTTACAGTAAATTTAAACTTGCGAATTTCGAAAAGTCTATTGATACAAGCTTATCAGATATCCTACAGTTCCGCAAAACCCTGCAAAAAAGTTCACATGTTTTAGGATTAAACTTGGATCTTTACGACTGTAATTGAGCTATTAACTGAATGACATACAGGGTGTTCAAAGATGTCAGATTATTGATGAATGCAAGTGAAGAAGAGCTCCCATTTAATATATCACCAATTCGTCTGCAACACAGAAGTAGATTAATTAATTTTCATTGCTGCGACCTTCACATTTAAGAATGACATTTAGCTCTTGTCGCCAGCAATGGGCACTTACAAGCTTGCCAATTGGCCAAGATTGGAAAGAGTAGCTGGAATTGGACCTTGAAAAGAATTACCCTGAAACCTCCTACAGTTCCATAGATCTAGTTAGTCATTTAAAGTAGCATTTCCTAACGAATGCAGCAAAAGTAGTGAAAGAATAGGTATCTATATTCCTTGGAAGAAAAGGAAAGTGAAATCAATGTTGACTGATACTATCACCTTATCTGAAACTCGCAACCATCTAATGGATAGTGCAGTTGCTTATCAAGTACTCCCTCCGTCCGGGTTTATTAGGCCTCTTAGCATCACAAGCATGTCCACTTTTATAAGGCCCCGCGTTGGAAAGGTGCATGCATGCAACCATTTCATTGGTTACATTGAAAGCTATTGTTGTTGGTGCCATGACTGAAAAATTAATATACTTCATGTGTGTTTTTTCATTGGCTGCATGCATGTGAGAGAGTGCATTGAGAGTGGAGTGAAAGAATTAATGTGAGCAAATTACTATGTGTCTTGGTCTAAGAGAAGTTGTCTTTAGGCTTAATAAACCCGGACGGAGGGAGTACGTACTAATCTAACATCTTACACCTTAAATGGAATTTTCTTAAGAGGCCACAAGGAGATTCAGCATGTTCATGAAAGCCTCACGTAACTAAAACTATTGTTATTTAAAATGAATCATCCACTTCCACATGATTTATGTTTAGCACAAACTAAAGTTCAGCTTGTAGATAACTATATCAAACTGAACTAATATTCTTTCAAACCTCCCTGCGAATTAATATACTTTCAAATTGTGTAAACAACATGCAGTATTTTCATTTTTACAGCATTACTATGATTTAGAAAATAAGTGATCTTACAGCTCTGTTAAACTGCTCCAGCTACCAATATAATCTGGTATTTGCCCAGTAAAATCATTATCTGATGCCCATCTAAAAAAAGAGAGGAGAACTACATAAGATTGAATGGTGTGGAGCATTATAATATATCAACAACACGGCAACTGTAGGCATACAATTTTTTCATTTTCGTAAGCTGGGAAAAGTGATGATGGAAGTGGACCACTAAGGCCAGAACTGTCAATGTACCTGTAATTGAGAAATAGAGAAAAAATACACATTCGATAAGGGCTGACAAATCCAAACAAGAAGACAACTGGCTTGGCAGAAGAAATATAGAGTTCCCAGAATTCAGTAAATACGTACAGTTCCTCAAGTTTTGCCAGGTTTCCCAGTTCCGAAGGAAGCGAGCCACTAAAATTGTTTCCGCCCAGGCCCCTATGAATGCACCAAAAGTTTTAGTTAGGCATGCGAACTTTATATTCTGTAAGTCATGAGGGCTATCAGCATAGCTACCCTTCAAACCAAAAGTAAATCTAAACTTGTATGATAAAATACAATCATATTGTTATAACCAATATTTCTTACAATTTTATAAGATTCTTAAGGTTCCCGAGCTCCTTTGGTACTGGTCCAGATAATGCATTGATACCAAAAGTCCTGATATGTTGAAGAGAGGAACTGTGAGATTAATTGCGGGGAAATAAATGTATTCATTGTTCCAAACTTGCAATCATGATTTGAGTTGTGAATCTCACATGTACTTCATATCAGTCAACTCCCCGATGAAAGATGGTAAAGGCCCTGTCTAGTAATTTTGCCCTAAATCCCTGAAACAACATTGAATCAGATAGTCGAGTAAATTTGGTGTGCAACTGGAATTATATACAGAATGTCAGTTTCAAGTTAGGACAATAGACTATAAGTTAGGACCATTTCATTTCAGGTGTGCAAGTTGAGAGTTCATACAGATCGATCAGGGCTGTGAGGTTCCGCAACTCTTCTGGTATGGGGCCCACCACGTCAAGGGCGTATATTTTCCTGCATCACAAGCATCCCATTAGCTAACGCCCTATCGATCTACCAATCGTGCATTGATCCAAGCATGCCATTAGCTAACGCCCTATCGACCTACCAATCGCTCGCATTGATCCAAGTAACGAAACCGTCGCTAGATCTGGCATTCCATCAAACATGCTGAGCGTTGGCGGGGCCTAAGAAAAGCACTTACAGCCTGGTGATGCGGCAGACGGAGGTGTTGCCGCCTGTGCAGACTTCGCACTTGATGGCGGCCCTGAAGATGTCGTTGTTGTCGATGTTGGTGTTATCTATGGCAGCACCTGTGCAGGGATCGCCGCTGATGTTCCATTGCGGCCCCGCCTTCTGACCGAGTTTGGCGAATACCGCGTGCAGTGCCGCCGCTGCGAGACAAACAGAAAATAACGGTTCAGAAAGCCATCCTCGTCGCCGCTCAGCCGTCCGATGGCGATCTCGCGGACGAGAGGGAGCATCTAGACTACGGGAAAAGAAACCGCGGGTGAAACCGGACGTCTCAGGGCCGAGAGGGAGCATCTAGGCTACAGGAAAAGAAACCGCGAGATGGTTTCTGATTCCCACTTTTGTATTCGGAGGGGGAAAAGTCAAGTAAAAGGTGACAAGCTAGCTTACAACATTGACTTAAACATGAATTGATTTGTATCTTGGTACCCAACATTAATTTGCATTCCCAACATTAATCAACCATTTCGAGACTTAAACATGAATTGATTAAAAATGACGAGGAGCCAACATGAATTGATTTGTATCTTGGTGACAAGCTAGCTTACAACATTGACTTAAACATGAATTGATTTGCATTCCCAACATTAATCAACCATTTCGAGACTCCTCGTCATGTCCCCGATCTCATCCGGGACTCCGAACTCCTTCGGTACATCAAAACTCATAAACTCATAATATAACTGTCATCGAAACCTTAAGCATGCGGACCCTACGGGTTCGAGAACTATGTAGACATGACCTAGAACTATTCTCGGTCAATAACCAATAGCGGAACCTGGATGCCCATATTGGCTCCTACATATTCTACGAAGATCTTTATCGGTCAAACCGCATAACAACATACGTTATTCCCTTTGTCACCGGTATGTTACTTGCCCGAGATTCGATCGTCGGTATCCAATACCTAGTTCAATCTCGTTACTGGCAAGTCTCTTTACTCGTTACGTAATGCATCATTCCGTAACTAACTCATTAGTTACATTGCTTGCAAGGCTTATAGTGATGTGCATTACCGAGAGGACCCAGAGATACCTCTCCGACAATCGGAGTGACAAAACCTAATCTCGAAATACGCCAACCCAACATGTACCTTTGGAGACACCTGTAGTACTCCTTTATAATCACCCAGTTACGTTGTGACGTTTGGTAGCACCCAAAGTGTTCCTCCGGTAAACGGGAGTTGCATAATCTCATAGTTACAGGAACATGTATAAGCTATGAAGAAAGCAATAGCAACATAGTAAACGATCAAGTGCTAAGCTAACGGAATGGGTCAAGTCAATCACATCATTCTCCTAATGATGTGATCCCGTTAATCAAATGAGAACACATGTCTATGGCTAGGAAACATAACCATCTTTGATTAATGAGCTAGTCAAGTAGAGGCATACTAGTGATGTTATGTTGGTCTATGTATTCACACATGTATTATGTTTCCGGTTAATACAATTCTAGCATGAATAATAAACATTTATCATGATATAAGGAAATAAATAATAACTTTATTATTGCCTCTAGGGCATATTTCCTTCAGTCTCCCACTTGCACTAGAGTTAATAATCTAGTTCACATCGCCATGTGATTTAACACCAATATTCACATCTGTATGTGATTAATACCGATAGTTCACATCATCATGTGATCAACACCCAAAGGGTTTGTTCACATCGCTATATGATTAACACCCAAAGAGTACTAAGGTATGATCATGTTTTGCTTGTGAGAGAAGTTTAGTCTACGGGTCTGTCACATTCAGAGCCGTATGTATTTTGCAAATATTCTATGTCTACAATGCTCTGTATGGAGCTACTCTAGCTAATTGCTCCCACTTTCAATATGTATCCAGATTGAGACTTAGAGTCATCTGGATCGGTGAAAAAGCTTGCACCGATGTAACTTTTTACGACGGGCTCTTTTATCACCTCCATAATCGAGAAGTATTTCCTTGGTCCTCACTAAGGATATTCTTGATCGCTGTCCAGTGATCTACTATTAGATCAAAATTGTATTCCTTTGCCAAACACAGAGCAAGGTATACAATAGGTCTGGTTCACAGCATAGCATACTTTATAGAACCTATGACTGAGGCATAGGGAATGACTTTTCATTCTCTTTCTATTTTCTGCAATGGTCGGGTCTTGAGTCTTACTCAACTTCACACCTTGTAACACAGGCAAGAACTCCTTCTTTGACTGTTCCATTTTGAACTATTTCAAAAATTTATCAAGGTATGTACTTATTGGAAAATCTTATCAAGCGTCTTGATCTATCTACATAGATCTTGATGCTCAATGTGTAAGTATCTTAACTGAGGTCTTGCTTTGAAAAACTTTTATTCAAGTATCCCTTCATGCTATCCAGAACTTATCATTTCCAATTAACAATATGTCATCCACATATAATATTAGAAATTCTACAGAGCTCCCACTCACTTTCTTGTAAATACAGGCTTCTTCAAAAGTCTGTATAAAACCATATGCTTTGATCAACTCATCAAAGCATATATTCCAACTCCGAGATGCTTGCACCAGTCCATAGATGGATCGCTGGAGCTTGCACAATTTGTTAGCACCTTTAGGATTGACAAAACCTTCTGGTTGCATCATATACAACTCTTTTTTAATAAAACCATTAAGGAATGCAGTTTTGTTTATCCATTTGCCAGATTTCATAAAATGCGGCAATTGCTAACATGATTCAGACAGACTTAAGCATAGATACGAGTGAAAAACTCTCATCATAGTCAACACCTTGAACTTATCGAAAACCTTTTGCGACAATTCTAGCTTTATAGATAGTAACACTATCAGCGTCCGTCTTCCTCTTGAAGATCCATTTAATCTCAATGTCTTGCCGATCATTGGGCAAGTCAATCAAAGTCCATACTTTGTTTTCATACATGGATCTTATCTCAGATCTCATGGCCTCAAGCCATTTTGCGGAATCTGGGCTCACCATCGCTTCTTCATAGTTCGTAGGTTCGTCATGGTCTAGTAACATAACTTCCAGAACAGGATTACCGTACCACTCTGGTGCGGATCTTACTCTGTAAGACCTACGAGGTTTGGTAGTAACTTGATCTGAAGTTTCATGATCATCATCATTAACTTCCTCACTAATTGGTGTAGGAATCACTGGAACTGATTTCTGTGATGAACTACTTTCCAATAAGGGAGAAGGTACAATTACCTTATCAAGTTCTACTTTCATCCCACTCACTTCTTTCGAGAGAAACTCCTTCTCTAGAAAGGATCCATTCTTAGCAACGAATGTTTTGCCTTCGGATCTGTGATAGAAGGAGTACCCAACAGTTTCCTTTGGGTACTCTATGAAGACGCACTTCTTCGATTTGGGTTCGAGCTTATCAGGTTGAAAACCTTTTTCATATAAGCATCACAACTTCAAGCTTTAAGAAACGACAGCTTAGGTTTACTGCTAAACCATAGTTCATACGGTGTCGTCTCAACGGATTTAGATGGTGCCCTATTAAACGTGAATGCAGCTGTCTCTAATGCATAACCCCAAAACAATAGTGGTAAACCGATAAGAGACATCATAGATCGCACCATATCTAGTAAAGTACGATTATGACGTTCGGACACACCATTACATTGTGGTGTTCCAGATGGCGTGAGCTGTGAAACTATTCCACATTGTTTTAATTGAAGACCAAACTCGTAACTCAAATATTTGTCTCCGCGATCAAATTGCAGAAACTTTATTTTGTGGTTACGATGATTTTTCCACTTCACTCTGAAATTCTTTGAACCTTTCAATTATTTCAGACTTATGTTTCATCAAGTAGATATACCCATATCTGCTCAAATCATTTTGTGAAGGTCAGAAAATAACGATACTTGCCATGAGCATCAACACTCATTGGATCGCATACATCGGTATGTATTA